TTTATGAACAGTGACAGGTGGAAATGAAGACTTCTCCCAGTCCAGTATTTCAGTGTTCCATTGTGAACCCACCCCCATTTCCCCCAAGGGGTTTTTTGCCTGTCTCTACTTCAGAACTGGGAAAAATGTTTTCAGCCCTTTAATTTGGTGGTTAGAGAGGGAAAAAAAAAAAAAAAAAAAAAAAAAAAAGAAGCTGTTATGGATTAAAGTTTCTAACGAGAAAAAAATCACTTTGACAAAGCAGAAAAAAATATTATCACTTCAAGTATTTTATTTTTCTGCTTTTAATGTGCTGTGTGTAATTGAGCGTCTTGAAATACCCACGAAAACGAAATTAAGTATTTTGCTGGCTTTCAGATGAATGTTTTGAACTGCCCTGACTTTTTTCCCTTTACTGGATTCCAGGAGAACATTTCTTCAAACAGCTCCATGTAACTGCACAGGGACACTTGAAACAGCTCCCAAATCAAAGCCAAACCGTCTCTTAGCAGATAAAAGCAGGGGCCAAAAAGCCCTTCCTCGCATCCAGTAAAGCTCCTCCTGGGATCAGCTTGTCCCAGGATGTTATTCCATCATTAGGCAGCGTGGAACAGTCCTTCAGTCTGTGGCCTGGCTGCAAGCAATGCCCAGGGAGAGAGGATGGGGACACGTTTTCTTCCCCTTTTTCCTCTTGCAGGAGGGGGGATGTAAATACCAAGCAGGACATTCATCTTCCCACCCTTTCTCCACCGGCACTGTGATCCCTTCTTTTGGCATCCTGACAGCCCAACCTTGGTCCCTACGCCCCTTTTCCTTACAAAAACAAGACTGGAGACTTGAGAGAGGCACTTGGGGAGGGAGAGATCCAACTGGATGCCTTAACTTGGGCAAAGTTCCTTCCTCCTTTCCCGGTCACTGAAGCAGGGGGTGGATTGGGGAGACAGGGAGAGCCTTCCAGGAGGACTGCCCGCTGTGGGGTGTGCTCCACAAACAAGGAGAGGACCTCAGCTGCCTGCCCCAACTCCAGCAGCCTTGGAACACCCCCTTCCTTCCTCTGCTTCTCCACCAGGACAGGAGCAACCTCAGCATGGGGACGGGAGGGCATTTAATGGAAGGAGGAGGTGGCTTGTGGCTTCCCTTGAACTTGGGAACTTCAGGCTTTCAGATCCCAGGGGAAAAACTGGTTAAGGAGCTTCCAGTTCAGAGAGAGGGATGACTGTGATTAAACACACCTAAGTTAGGCTTGCCCAGCTGGGAGGCAGGGAGGGAACCCCGGGGAGTGATTCCAACTCTCGGCTGATTGAACCGTGCTTTGGAAGCACCAATTTCTCTCCCTCCTAAAGAGCTCAGGATCACCTGGAGCGACTGCAGGGCTGAGAAATGGCCTGGGGAAGGCAGATGTGAGGCTGGGGGGATGTTGGCTTGCTGGCCAGGGAGAGGAGAGAGCTTTCCCATGTTGCCATACCTGCGGTCTGGTTATCCCCAGTCAGCTCTGCCAGGCACTGGCTGCGCTCCTCCTCGATCTCCTGCATGATGCTGCACTCTGGCCGTGTGCTGGACGCCTGCAGAGAGGGCAGAGAAGGGCAGAGTGAGCAAAACCCGCCCTCAGAGATGCATCCCTGGGGATTCCCAGCCTCATGGAGTGACCTGGAGCTCTCCAGGGCCGCTGCACTGTGGTGACACACAACCAGCCTTATTTTTCTGTTTGCCTGAGAGAAGCGAGTGCAGCCCAGAGCCTGCTGAAAAATCTGCATTTCCCTTAGGGAAAAAACCCCACAACCTAATTTTTTTCCTGATGGTCAGGAGCAATCCTGCTACTTTATGGTATAGGAACCCTGCCTGGATAACCAACACCACCAGCTATGGAGGGCAGGGAGACAGCAGCTTTAATATCCATGCCAAGAGCAGTGGGATCTGAGCTTTGGGGTTTATTCCCCATCCTCTTGCTAATTCAAAGCAAAACAAAACCCAAATCAAATAAGAACCAAACCTCTGATGCAGATTAGGGGATCAAGGAGCTAAAAAGCAGGAAATTCCCAGTGACAAGACTTTTTTTTTTTTTCCCCTCAAGTGCTTTCTCCTCAGTCAGACTTAATTATATTGTGTTTGCAATACAGCAGTGGCTATGAATGTTCAGGTAATTAATTGTGGACTCCTTGCACGAACTGCCTCAATCATAAAATGTGAAAATACTGATTTTTTTACTCCAAAAGAAGGAACCAGGAGCTCACACATATCCCTGTGTCCTCTTGTCACCAGCATGCCCTCCACCTGTCTCGTTTCCAAATGTGTGAGTTGTTGCTCTACCCACATATTTGCCAGACAAGTTTGTA